AAAAAAAAAAAAAAAGAAAGAAAGAAATATACCTACATACACATGTACACACAGGTATGCAATGTGAAGGATGTACTTATTAGCCTGGTTGTAGCAGTCATTTCAGCATGTGTCCATACAACAAATCAGCATGTTGTTTTGCATGAGTGTCTGTATTTGACAAGAGAAGAGGCCATTGCAGCCCAGCACAGAAGAGATGCTGAGTCCAGGGAGTTCTAGGCGGGAACCTGAGGCCCCACCTTCTGACAGCCTGAGAGTCCACCAGGACCTCCTCAAGTCCTCAGTACTGTGCAGGTCTGCCTGGCCAAGGGCACAGTGCCCAGATATCGCACAGCTGTGGAGCCTGTGAGCCACGAAGTCCCTGTCTCTCCCGGTACTCAGAGAGGTACGGTACTAAGTGCAGTGTCACCATGCCTGCTTGGCCTCAAATAATTTAGGCTCTCTGCAAGAATATATTTTACAAGATTTAATATGGTAACAGGATTCTCTATTACTTTGAGACTGCTGAAAAGCTCTGAGGCTCGTGCCTCTGTGCACACATTCACCATAAGTTAGATAAATCCCTAGTTGGAATCTGAAGGAGTGCCAGGCCCTGGGAACATGAGGTGGACTGAAAAACTGTCCTCCCAGGAGGAGGACAGGACTGTAGACCCAAGAGGATCTAGGGCTTACAGAGTTGTGGATTTCCTGGTATAAAATGAAAGCCAAAGATAAATTTTGAAAATGCAGCTGTACCGCACCTGGAGGCAGGCTGGGGCCCGTCCCTGGGGCTTGTTGACGTCCACGGCTACCAGCTGCCACCCGCCGGCCGCATCTTCATGAAACATCTTCAAGACAAAGAGGAAGATGAGTCAGACACTTCACAAGGAATGCTACAAACTCTAACTGTGTATCTCCAGGTTTCTGCATTTTTGATGTCATCAAAACTTTGCCTTCTGAAGGATTTATATTTGGAGACTGAGTCATCTGATTACTTACATTTTAACCCTCAAACTGGAGTGAATAGTAATAACATTAAGAGTAAAGACTGCATTTATTAGGCATTTGCTATTATCTGTCTTGCACAGGCTTCACATCTTACTGCACAAATATTCTCCTCCTCTAGAGAAATATTTAGTAGATATTTTATCCTCATTATATCCATGGTCATTTCTTAGATCTTGGAAACATCAGGACTCTAAAGCATCGTGTCTGGTGTGTTTTTACTGTACGTGATGGATTTCTGTCTGTGTGAGGAACAACTATAAAAGTTACAGTGAACATTTAAAATTTTAAAAAGTTATTATGGTGAAAGATACATTGCCATTAATCTGTTTCAAAATACACAGCATCATATTTTTATTTGAAGTTTTGGTAAACATTTTGGATCCACTCAGCACATGAAGGTGGCCACGTAAAGACACTCACGGAAGACTTCCAAACACTGCAGAAATTGGCAAGTACCATTGGATAAATGTGTTCCACTGAAGGGACTATTGGCAATGTGTCTTTTACCGTAATAAATATTTAAACCCTCACTGACAGAGTGCTTCATTGCCCAGGCACAATTATTTTAACCTGGCCAGAACTAACCTGCTAAAAAGGAATTTGATATATAAGTTTAGGAAGGAAACAAGCCACTTCTTCATATTTAGAGGATGCAGATGATAAAATTCAACTGACTACTCCCCATTAGAACTAAAATTCACTAACTTAAATGCCTGGATGCATGTCATGTCACCTCCAGAGGTACTTGCCTGCCCATGTTATGCCCACCTGGAAGACATTTCCCATCATAAGTACTTTCCCAAATGTACTTTCTTATGGTTCCTTAGGAGCGTGAGCGTGTGTGTGTGGAGACAGAGCAAGGCAGCATAGGGTGAAATGACAGAGTTTGATTTTTCTAAGTGAGGATCCTGCCTGCAGGAGCTCACTGCTTCATTCTGGCCAAGGCCATTGTTTTGCACATGCACACATTTCTTTTGGTATCCTTCTTTGTGTCTTGCTGTCCACCTGACCCAGCTTTGGAAAAGGCAATTGTTGCCAGGCTCTATGCTGGTGCAAGGGGCATCACCTAGGATAGATGAGCACAGTTGCTGAGGCCTGGCAGCTGAGATGTGGATCATTTGCAGAAAGTAAGGCGAGTCCTCTATAGAATGAGTGAGGTAGCCAGATCCAAGTCCGCCGATGGACACATCATCTATGTATCTCTTAGGTGACAAAATTAGGTGCACATTTTACACACTCTTTGAACAAAGATGCCACTGCAAATTGTCAATCCCAGTTGTCCTTTGCAGCCCCAGCTGGCCTTCAGAATGCACATTAAAAGCAAGTGGTGTTTGCTGGTAGGAGCCAGCTATCGTTCATGAAGCAGCTCATTCTGGGAACACACAGGCTGGGAAAGAACACCTGTTAAAATGCCTTTCAGAGTCCCTGTCAGAATTCTGCAATTCTCCTTTTACAAAGGGAAGACAACTGTCCCTGTCCCCTATCTTGTCTTATCACAGCACAAAGAATCCCTGGGGCCAGGATTCGCTTTGATCCATGACAGACTAATTTTCCCTGTTAAATTATATTTTCCTGCAGATCAAAATCACATGAATCAATTTAATTGTCAGTAAAAGCTTTCTTTCAAGGTGACTGCTTTGTATAAAATCAAGGAAATGTAAACACGTTCAATTTTCCTTTGGCCCCCCACTTCTAGAACAACATTTAGATTAGAGCTTTAAGACAGAATCTAGGGGGCTGAGCTGTGATCCTCATCCCTGGAGACTCAGATCCTGGGGCAGAGTGGCAGAGTGGCAGGAGCTGACAGCTACCTCTCTGTCTGCTACCTGATCTTCCCAAGGTGGAGAACTGGAAACTTTTTTATGGTGGTTACTAAGTCTCCAAGGCCAAAGACCATCTTTTGCTTTGCGAAGCCCATCTTGACCATATAACTCATGTAAGTGCATATCGCCTATGGGATGTAAGTAGATACCTTCTTTTTTTCTATAGTCCTTCTTTCTGCTCATTGGAATGTGGACACAAGGGTTAGAGCTACGGCAGCCACCTGAGCCAAGAAGGTAGCTTTCAGATGGGAGTTGTGGAGGAGACATTTGGAAGGAGCCTAGCTTATTGACATCACAGACACTCACACCAACCCCAAACATCTCCAAACATCTTTTCCAACTTTACATGAGAAGACAAATTCTGTTTCTCCTAAGCTCTTTGTTTGAGTATCTGGTCCCTTGTAGGGGATCTGCTGTAGCTAACACAGGTGCTGTAGTTTCAGTTAGATTACTAGCCCAGTGGATTCTTTTGTTTTACTGATGTAGCTTTCCCTTCTCATCGCACAATCAACAGTGTTTACAGATACACATTGGAAAGTGTGGATAAGCTGTGCAAAAATCTAGAGCCTGGCAGCTAGATGCAGGAGTGCACACCTGTCACCCAGCATTCAGGAGGCTGACACAGGAGAATCACTGCAATTTGGAGCCAGCCAGAGTTACGTAATGAGTTCAAGGCCAGCCTGAGTTGCACAGTGAATCTTGCTTCAAAGAAACAACACAACACAACAAAAACAAAGACAAAAAAGCTGAACCCATCCTCTAGAGACAACTATTGTGACATTTTAGAGTTAAACTTGTAGATATTCATACACATACTTACCACAACACACACACACACACACACACACACACATGAATTTGAGAACTTTTGTTTTTTCTTTTCTTTTGAGGGGTATGATATGTTGTCTGCAGATTTGCATGTCAATAAAAATCTTGAATTTTGAATCATTATTATAATTGTTTGTATTTGTTCCATCTTCATAATTTATAATCAATAATTTAGCTGATAGAAATTCAAAATATTTTTACTTTTTATGCTTTATAAAAGCACCACACTAAACACCTTCAGATGTAAATCATTGACTACTGTCCAAATTCTTCCTAGCACAAACTCCTAGAATGAAATGTTTAGCCAGCCAAATAACACACATGCGTGTGCATGCACAGGGTTTTGATAAGTATTGCCAAATATTCTCAAAGAGATGTTCCAGTTTATGCTTAGTAGCAATCTATGGGAATGTTCTTTTCTGCCAACACTAAGATGTGCTATCCTTTTGAGAAAAGTGAGTTAAGGGCCTGAACACAGTCAGCTTGTGCTGAGCAGTTAAGAGGAGGATGGAAAAAGGAGAAATCCCTGGGCTCCTGCAGCCCAGCAGCCTGCGGTGGAGACCCTCAGCCACCACTGCCCCTACGGAATGGGGGGTGTGCTAAGTAACCTTCAAACCCTCATCAGGTTTAATCTGCAAAGTGGAGCCAATAAGAGTACCCACTTCACAATATTAATGTGAAGATTAAATGAGACAGGTTGTAAAGTAATTTCCCAGGGCTCAGTGCCTCCGTCCATGCTAGTGATTGTAATAAGATGTTAGGAATTACCAAGAGCTGCACACACGGCCGCCAGCACTCCCAGTATAATCATTTGGAAACTACGAAGATTTGCACCTTGAGAATTATATCAGACTTGCCCATTTTCAGCTATTAGAGCTTTTCAGTGGGCCACTTGGTTTATATAGTGTGGAAAATACATTGAGGATTTTTTTTTTTTTTTTTTTTTGAAGAACCAGGGGTTGAACTCAGGCCCCTGTACTTTCCAGGCAAGCGCTTATTGTACTGAGCCATCTCCCTGGCCTCTAAGGACTGGTTTTTATAGGCAAAATATCACCATTATTATCAGGTTATGTGTTGGGAGGTGGTGCGGGAAAGGGCACCATTAGAAACTGTAATAAAATCCCCGCTGTGCACAGAGCAATGCAGAGAACATCTAAAACTTATTTTGAAATTCTCGTGTTCTTTGAGCGTTACAGAGAATCATTTGTAAAAATAGGCAATAGTCATTACACAAAATAACGAGGGCAGATGCATGGTCTGATTCCATCATTAAATAATATATCCAATGACTCAGTCTCACAAAATTTAATTCTCACTGTGGCTTCCCATGATGAAGGGACTGTTCCGTCGCCATGGCTTGTCAGTGAAAGGTACCACATAGCCCTTTCCTGAACCTCTTTCACTAAACTGTTTTCTCTCCTATTATCATGATGTGTGCCATCATCACAGGGAGATCAATGGTCTTGGAATGCAAATCTTTCCTCAGGTACTGTCTTTGAACACTAAGCCATATGTAGTCTTTCTGGGGGATGCTTTCCATGTTTTGACCATGTATCTTTTCATCCATGCCTTTCTGCCTTGGCATTGAGCACACCACTTCATACTAAGGTTACTTGAGACATGTTCTAAGAACACTGCTGGAGCCCCCAAGGAGGAAGGTTTTAAAAGCACCCCTTTTTCCTGTATCAATTCTACCCCCATCAATCTTGTGTTTTAATGGGGGAATATTAGTTCAGAAAATAAGAGTGTTTAGTCAGAGATACGATAGATTCTGAAGTTACCATTCTCTTTATATAAGCAGAATATTTACCAAACATTCCATAGTGCCCTGATGGGCCGTGAATTATTTGTTTATAGAAGTTGGGTACATACTGACTCACAGAGGCTTGCCTTGTGTCTTCTTTCACTACACCCAACAGAAGAGCAGCCTCGAGTAACCCTAAAGTCGAGTGGTTCTTTCAGTTCTATTCTGGGCAAAGTTTGCCAGGCTCAGAACCCATGCAGATCAGAGGACCGCAGGACTGGGAACAAGGAGCACAAGCTAAGTGCTTAAGCGGTGGGAGTGAAGGTCTAGACACGTGGCCTGGAACTTCTGCCAGCCTGTGCCACATCCCAAGTCCAGCTTCGGGATAACACCGTGAACTGTGCCACGCCGCTTGATGGGCCACTGCACTGTGTCAGCATGAAGCTCTGTGTGGCAAGGCCTGTCGAAGCAGGATGAAGACACCACACACCACAAGCCCCACCAGATCTCAAGCAGACTTGTCATTGCTAATCTGGACATTTCTAGCCCATTTTCCTTTCGTTATCCACGTACATATTGTATTACTGTCTCCAGAAGGCCTTTGGCATTAATCTTTCTGTAATTTGTTTCTAATGCTGTGACTCACAGGCATTTGGCAGTGGTCACTCAATTGGAAAAAGTTACTTTGCTATTTTATTTATTTATTTTTGCTTTGTTATTTTAAAGAAAAAAATTCTCCTTGGCTGTCTTTTGCCTCTAAATGGTAGATACTAGCGAACCACCTAAACTATTGAGGTCTTTTCATTTGTCTTGTTACCACACACACACACACACACACACACACGGCTGTCATAGGAAGTCTACTGACTTAGAGAGGGCAACAACTCCCAGATATCCAGGACATCCTCAGCTCTTTGATAAGACAATCATCTTAAACAACTGAAAAAGTCCAACCTACTAGAGAAAGGCAGCGCTGACCTCCATACCTGAAAAGCCACGTGCTTTACAATTAGTTAACCACCTTTATTTTCTTAGAGCCTGTTTCATCAGAATTAGAAACTTGTGATTTAGTACTTTAAGCCACATAAGGAAAAGTCCCCAGTCACGGAGTGTAGTCAGGTTTTACAAAAGTAGCAAAATGAGGTAAATGTTATCTCCTTCCCAGTACAGAAAAGCTTTTGGGGGCCCTGCACGTAGCCATTATGGGTGGGCGGGGCCTCAGGCCCGTTGCTAGGCTGCCTAAGTGCTGTTTCACCCAGAGTCTGCACGCTGGAGCTCAGGTCGCTTAGCAACGGGGTCCTCAGCCACAGCATTTTTCTTAATGAAGGTTTTTTGCAGTTCTCTGTGTGATTACCACTGCTGAACATTTAGACTTATTCCCCGTGAATTACTGACTTACGCCTTCTGATTAGGTACATCTTTGCATCAAAATAATTTTACACAACTTTGTCGAAAGGTTCTTTAACCTTGTACTTTCTATTACAATGGCTGACTGATTGGGTGGCGCTTCCAAACTCTACTTGTCCGACTGTGATTTTTTACATCAGAGTTCCCTAATAAATATTAGGTGGTTTTAGAGACATTGTAGGCCATCTCTCAGGACACTGTGTGGAGGCTGAGTGCTAAGTGTTTCGATTAGGTCTTTATTTCGCAAGCGTGACCTACAACCTCCAAGTGCTGTCATCTCAGAATGGACTTGGAACTATATTATTTTTATAGTTTTCTGAAAGGCATGAGAGGGGAGATAAGAACTAGACTTGGTTGATTCCTGGAAGGCTTTCCCATAAGACATTTCTGACATAAACTACATAGCACTTTTTAAAAATCTTTCATAACAGTTTGAGTAATTGTTGAAATTATATCAAACTACCATCTGTAATGAACTGGCCAGACAATTCAGACTTCAATAGCATCTTAAAAAATGCTACAGCATTTTAAAGCTTTTTCTAAATGCTCATATGTTTAATAGCATCTAAACATCCAATTTTAAAAATTCAGTTTGAAGGTTGTCAAACAAATGGCCCTTTCACCGATACTTTCCTCTTGATAGATGAGTATAATTCTTACCAACATATATTAAATTTGTTTTAGAAGTTATTATTAAAATAATATTTATAAAGCATTATAATGTATCATCTTTTTTGAATTTTATTTTCTCTTTGTTATGAAGATTCATGGTCGAAGATATTATATATAAACCCATCCTTCCTTCTCTTTACCACCACGAATACAAACACAAGGGCTGGCTAAATAGCTCAGTAGATTAAAGCACCTGCAAGCAGGTGCAGGGACTGGAGGTTTGATCCCCGGGCCTGCTGTGCCTGCCCCACAGCTGGGGCGCTGAGATGGCAATGAGACTGGGCGTGGTGGTGTGCACCTGTAATCCCAGCTCTTGGGAGGCTGTAAACAGGTAGATCACTATGAGTCTTGATCTAGTAGTGAGACCCTGAACACCCTATAGACCCTTCCCTAAAATACCAAAAAATAAATAAATAAATAAATAAGAATGAAAGAAAGAAAAAGAAAATAAACACACACACACACACACACACACACACACACCCCAAAATGAAAACAAAGACCTGGATCTGAATTACCCTGCTATGAAATTAACTGCTCTTCTACCTTCTGAGTATAACGTGATCCCTCAAAAATCACAGGCATGCATCGGGAGTGGCGGAGTTTTCTCCATAATTTATTGTACCATGATTGGATGATTTGCACTATTTGTTCAAATGGAATATATTTTCCATTCCAAAAGTTCTAATCCTATACTTAGGGGTCATTGTCTAGGTTTCCAATACCCAAATACCTGCCCACAGAAATGGAAATACCACAGTTGCTCTATTTGATCTGCCAGCCCACTGAAGACTTATGATGTCAGAATCTATACAAAAGTCCTTAGTAAACGTGACTGGCAATCTTACATATCACAGTCACCCACAGCGTTGTAGCCTTCATGCCACATCAAGCTTGTTCGATTTGTTTTTTCTGGACTTGGGCTCCTGCACCTGGGTTTTCAAACAGTTTCCCCACTGTGTCCGATTGACGGAGCCCACTGTATCAAAGTTCCCTCAGGGGCTGGTGGCAGTGAGGCTGCATCTGTCCCTGCCTGGCCAGTGGTTGCAACATCTTTGTCGCGGTGACACTGTACCTGTGTGGTCGCTGTGGAAGTTGTGCTGCTTCGTGAGCCCCACATTTGTTGGAATTGTACTCTGATTTCCGCAAACGTCTCAATGATGACGGCAATAAAGACATTCTGAAAGAAAGTTAGAAATCACCTTTACCAAATGCAGAGAATGAGAAAGCGAAGGGCATCCAAAAAGGAAGCTAAAATCTGCAGAATTAGCACAAAAGGTAGACTTCATTTATATTTTTGCCAGTACCTTAACAAGCCAGGCGAGGAAGAAAATGAGAGTGATGAAATAGAAGTAGGAACGCCAACAAGGAAAGCTATCGATTGCTCTGTACATGAGGAAAACCCAGCCTTCCTGGGAGGAAGCCTCGTACACAGTGAATATGCTGGTGCCTGTCAAGACAGAGGAGAACAGACTGAGTGACGGTGGACTCTGAAATAGGAACATGGTTTTCAGGGAAGCAATATTAATCCGCTCTTTTCCTCAATGGCATACCTTCTAAAATCACACGTGACATCTTATTGTTCTCAGGCTCAGGATTTTGATAAAATCATTTCTGACTTCAAGCCAAGATGATTGCACTATCTCCAGCAATGAAATAATTTTGTCATATCTTTTGCTGTTAAGTCCATCTAATCATGTGGAAAAGGAAATGGACATTCAAGCCAAGTGTAGGTGCAACATGAAAGAAAGAGTACCACGTGAGCTTGCCCCTGGGCCTTAGCACGCTCAGTATATTGGGAAAAACCCGCAGTTCTAAACAAAATGAAATAAATCTAAGAATGGGGTTGCACTTAAAGTCACTTTCTCATCTGGAGACTGAAGTATCTTAGACTCTATACATTAATATAAAGCTTGTCTTTAGATTCCATTATGTTCACTGACATAAAAATGTAAGGTAGTAAGCAGGCTTCTGAACATCGGTTAAGAGAACTTTAAAATATCACACAGAGAAAAGACGTGTTTTATCCTGACAACACTACTTAGGGTGAAACTAAGACACATGAAGATTAAAATAACCTTTGCAAGCATACACAGTAGTAATCCAGGGCTGTGGAGGTAGCCTTGGCCTTCTGGGATGGCGTCCAGAGGCCGTTTTGCTGTGGTGCTATCAAGCTTTCCGGTTTCCTTTGTGTACAAACCCACTAGTGCTGCGAGGTTCAAATGACTTAATCTCTGCTAAACCTTGTACATGGCCATTCTTTTTTTGATGTACTTAGTACAGGGCCTATAGGGTCTCACTACACAGATAGGACTCGTAGTGATCCTCCTGTTTTCAGCCTCCCAAGCACTGGGATTATAGGCGCGTGCCACCACACCCAGTCTCAATCGCCCTCTCAGCATGCCCCCGGGGATGGGGTCTGCACAGCACACTAGAGATCAAACCCTGGCTGCTGCTCTGTGCCAACGCAGGCACTTTAATCCACTGAGTTATCTGGTTGACTCTTATACAGGGGCATTCTTAAGGCATTTCACTTACCATTATTTATTATTATTATTATTAATTAGTAGTAGTAGTAGTAGCATTATTATCATAAAATTGGAAATTTCTTGTTCAATAAAATTTCATGAGGCCTAATCCTACCTATACACATTTGGTCAATTTCGCAGCTTCCCTGGCTCCCAACATATCCCTCCGTCAGTCTTGAGATAAACATCCTGTCTGGTTAAGGTTAGCTATTATTCGGCAGACAACCTGTGTCATGTGTTACTAACTTTGCAAAAGTATAGATAAAGGATGGTTTTGTTGTGATAAAAAAGAAAAATATATATATATATCCACAAGATAGTTAGGATAGATATACAGCTACCTCCTCTTAGTTCATTGAGAAGAAAGGTTTGTACTAGTGTTGTTTAAACAAGATATCATGTCTGCATCTTGTTCTCTAACTACTACGAAGACAACAATATACAATGTATTAATTATCGTAACTGTCCTACTAACCTGTTTTGAAGCTGTTTCATTGCTACTTTATCTTTTTTCTCATTAAAAAGTATTTTTAAAAATGTAAAAAAAAAATAAAACCCATAAAATTTCATGAGAGGGCCAGTGAGGTAGCTCAGGCAAGCACAGGGACCAGGGTCCGATCCCCAGACCTTCAATACCCTTCCCCCGGGTATGCTGAGCGGGCCACCAAGACCTGGTATGGAGATGCACGCCTGTAATCCCAGCGCTGGGGAGGCTGAATGCAGAGAATCACTACGAGTTCAAGCTGTGTAGTGAAACCCTATACCAAATATATTTTTAAAAATTCATGAGAAGACAAAAATAAAATATGCCATTGACTTAGAGTTGTTTATAGAATGGAAATGATATATATTTTATTCACAAATTGATAATATATGACTTTCTTAAATTCTAATGTCATGAGTGAGTTATATTATACAAGATAAACCCAGGTCCATCCCTATTTGTTCTACTGACACACGAACGCACCACTTGGTTATACAAATGACCAAACATTCAAGCTAAGGAGAGAGTGCTCTCATTGTGTGGACCTCGGGTCCCTGCGCCTGTGCTGCAGGTCAGCGTCAAGGAATTCCAAGGCACGCACAGTTACAGGGTGGTGACTGCAGGTGGCGACAAATAAAGAGGTTTCAAAGAAAAGCCAAGGGATAGGAGGAAAGCTTGGCTCTCTTTGGTGAATGCCTTTTACGTATCAATATGTGCTGGTTTATTGCATAGAAAATATAATTTTCTATAGTACTGGCTGTATTTTTTTGTTTTTAAAATACATTTTCACTTTTAGTTGACACACAGGAGGAGTTCATATTTATGTGACACTTCAGTCCCTGTGTTTAGGGAATAATGTTCAGCGCAGAACATCGGCATCTCCGTCGCTCCCGTCATTATTTTTTGTTGCAAGCATTCAAAATCTTCTCTATTAACTACTCGGAAATGTGGAACTCTTTGTTTCCAACCATAGCTATCCCAGTGAGCTGCAGAACGCTGAGAGTTTGATCCTGTCCACCTGCACCCCTGTGACTCCCTCCCGCCACCCTCCCTCCTCCTCCTTCCCCCAAGTACTTCCTTCTCTACAGCTGTGAGATCAACATTTTAGCTTCTAAGCGAGAGCTTCAGGTCTATAGATACTGTCCATTTAAAAATCCTGTTTTGTACACTGGCAAGTCATTGTCACAATAACTGTTGCATTTATAAAGTATTTTTAAATTTTTATTAGTACATGTTTACAGTATACAATTATTCTATTTATATTGGTGAATTGGGACAGGTATATAACATATCCCAATTCTTTCCGTACTCTTCTCCAATCCCATAAAAGTTTTTTGCCAAGATCAGAGTCCTTTCTTTGTTTTATGTGTTTACCAACTTAATCATCATGAGTGCAGATTAACAGAAAGACTACTGGGCCCAAACAGCAGAAAACAAATCCAAGGTTCTTCTACTGACTTAGCAGCTCAGGAATCTTCCACTCCACAGGGTGGAGATGCGGCCTGAGGACACTGTCACCACCACAATTTACAGGAAACACAAAGAAGGTCAGCGGTTAATGAAAGAGCCTCAAGAGGAAAGCAACAGAACCAGCCACTGACCCACACACTTGTTTACGCATGTGATTCATGTTTTCTTTTTTACTATGCTTTTTTTTGTGTTTCCTCTGGCTAGAGACCAGAAGCTAATTAATGAAGCTAATTCTTTTCTAAGACATGATGGTTAGGTTTATAGTGTGGCAAGGAACTCAGGCAAGATGACTTTAAACAAGGCTTTGGGGAAGAAAAGCTCATACAAACCATGAGACTGCCTGAAAATAGAAGAGATTGTTTCCATTAATGCTTCGGGTGCACTGAAAATGGACCATGTTTTTGCTTTTATGGACTGAATATGGAGGGCAATTTTAGCATAAAACAAATAATTTATGTCTCTTATTTTCTTCTAGTTATTGAATGAAAGCAGAAAAGTGCCACAGAAACCCATTATGAATCACCATTAAAGTTTAATAGCTTTACCAATTTGGGTGTTTTCAGGTGACATATGGGACTGTCAGTGCAAGATTAAATCTGAGGGAAACACTGAAAATTTTCTCCTTCCTCCTGTTCGATCTTTATTACATCTACAGCGAAGTTGTTACTTGGAATTAAGGAAAAATAGTACATTTGATATGTAATCTCCAAGATTTCACTCCATTTCCCCTAGTTCAGCAGAGAGAAGAAGGAAAAGAAAATGAAGGCCTGGTGTGGCTCAGAGATCTAGCTTTGCTGCTAGAAAGAGATGAGAAAATTCTAACAACATAGCCAGAAATCACTGCAGGAAATGTTGGCCATTGGAGAAATGCTTCCTGTCCAAGGGAACTATACTAGGAAAAAAGGCTCTGAGGCTGTCCCTACCAAATCCAAGGGCCAAAGCAATCTGCCTCCCCATCACGGTCCTTCCCCATCACATTTTTGCCACTCGTTTTGCAAAACACAAGAAAAGACAATCATTTCTAAAACGATTTTCCTATGCCTGTGAGATAGCTCAGCAGACTAAGCACCTGCTTAGGCAAGCCCAGGGATCAGGGTTCTATCCCCAGCACCACATGCCGTGCTGGCACTGACCCTGGGCACACTGAGTCAGCCATTGAGACCTGGCGTGGTGGCGTGCCCCTGTCATCCCAGCACTGGACAGCTGGATGTAGGAGGATCACTATGAGTCCAAGATGCATAGCGAGACCCTGTACCATACCAAATACATAAAAAAGAAAATTGAAAAAAAAGCTTTTCCCATGCCTGACCAGTATTTATATGAACAGAAATTGAATGTATGATCCCTTCATTTTCTGGGGCACATGACAGCCCTGAAAAAGAGACCATCTGCTTGGTGGTGTTGTACATAAATCAGCTTCCAGGAGGGCTCATTTCCTCTGCCCTCAGGCCCTGTAAGGTGACAGTCCCAGCCCTCCCAGACAGCCCTATGTTCGCTTGTACCAGGCCACTCATGACACTGGGTTCTATGAGCTCATTAGTGTGAGTGTTTCAGAGTTAGGAGGCATGCTTCAGTTCTGCGCAAGGCTCTGAGAAAACCCCAAGATCAGAAAAGTAAACTAGGAACAAATGGTCACAAGGTCTGAGGACACATAAAAGCATTTTTCAAATATTAGCTTTAAAACAAAAGCCTTCCTCCATCTGAATACTGCACAAGTAATTTGGAAGCAAAAGAAACTCTTCTAGTTTATTGCCTCTATTTTACCAACTTTCAAAAATCATTTAAAATGCATGGACACAGGTATACAAACGTAACAAACTTCCCATATTGTTGTCCAATGTGAGAAATGTACAGACAACATATTGATACACAGAAACGTATTTTCTAGAAAGTACTTTTGGCAAGGTAAATGGAATCCCTAATAGAATTCCTGATGGAAGGAGAGGATTCTTTAAGATCTTGGATTCT